TACACCTTTATCATTGTTGAACTAATATCCTGCATCAGGATATTAGTTCCCTTATATATTTATTACATAATTTAAACAAATTTCCAATAACATGCTAACAACCTCCAGTAAGCTCCTACTGCTCTCTGTGGATGCTTTGCTCCAATAATGAGGATTCAATTAGGTCAGCCTGCTAAATGCTGGAAGTTTTCTGATTAATGCAGGTTATAAGCATATCATCCTTATGGGCACTCATAAACCCATTATAGTGTAACAAACCCTGTCTGTCAAGTGATCTTGATTAGCCTTTTGCTTTATTATAGCCTGTATATTTTTTGTAATTATTTATATTCATAAAAAGGGAGATGTAAGTTGCTCATAACTTTATTTTGCTATTAGCAAAAGAACTTAATTTGGGGAAATGATCATCTTCAGGTGGGTGTTTTGATCCTCTCTCCGCCATTGTGCTCCTATGTTATGCAGTTCTGGTAGCGTTTAAAAGGCAGGGAGAGAGGCTGAGGCATGAGTGGCAGTTACTCACATGGAGAAATATGCATGTGTGGCTGGCCCCACTTTTAAACAATAGTCTGGAGAACAAAGTCCCTCTAAATAGGTATTTTAATTTCTTTATTTTAATATTTCTTTAAAAATCTTTCTGTTGCAAATGATAAATTATTGCTCATTCCTCCTTTCAATCTTGATACAGTTAAAACTATTTGCGATTAGGCATGCACCGATCCATATACTTTTACTTCCATTCAAATTCTAATACATAAGTCGCAATACTTTCCTAAAAACAGAGTTCTGTTTGCTTTAATGTTATCATACTCCTCACTTGAGGAGTGGTTAGGGCGTTGTGCTCGGGTTTCAGAGGTTTTGAGTTCAAGCCTCACTCCCACTTTGGGTCCCTGAGCAAGACCCCTAAACACACACTGCTCCCTGGGTGCCGCACATTGGCAGCCCACTGCTCCTCAAGGGGATGGGTTAAATGTACTGTAGAGTGAATTGTGTTGCTCTGTACTTGTGAAAGTGTTAGGAAAATAAATTAAAAAAAAAAGCTGGAAATCATCACTATGGATTTTTTTAGGAGTCTGCCATAAACTCTTCTCTAAAAGCAAGTATATGTTTGAATGTACACATGTAAAGCCTGAAAGGCAACTTGAGGTTCGTATGAGGTCAGATAGGGAAGTCATAAAAACAGTAAATCATGATAACATGACAAATTTCATCCTGAAAATACAACAGCAAGGGTTCAATTTGTCTTTTTCTTAAGTTAATTAACATAATGGGTAAAACCCCTTCTGCTGTTCACGAGACTTTTAACTTTGATTAAAGTTATTACAGAAGTAAACTTAATACATGCCTGTATGGATTTGACCTAGAATTTTGTTCAATGTTGGGACCTATATTGATATTAATATTGGGTAGTTCTCTAATTGCAACAGACCTTTGGAGAAAAAAAAGAAATAGATTTATACTCTGAAGGATTCCTTTTGATTGAATACAACTCTTGGTGTTATATTCTCCTTGAGTCCTCTTTTGCAAAAGCTTCAATAGATGCCTAAATACGTTGAAGAACAGATGACCTGCAATGCTATGATTTCCGTCCGTCCCTTAATATGATCTCAATATGATGTAGAAATATAGATATACATTTTTATGTAGATAAATACTTATTGAGATTTTTATACTAGGTTTAATTGATGCAAATTTAGGCTTGTTATTTGGTTGATGTTTTTGTAAGAATAGTCATGCTGGACAGAAAGAAATTATTAACATTTGGCAGAATATTTTAGTTTGTTTTTTCTGTTTTATGACATCGAGTGTAGACAAAGCATGACATTATTGCTGCCTATGGGGCTGCAGTGAAAGCTGAATATATCTGAATAGAATGTTTAAAGCTATAGTGGAGTATGTTCTTTTTCCGAGTGGATCATCAAAATAAGTGGTCCTCTTAATTGTGCTTGTCCCCATTTGCACTTACCGGTGGTGAGTCTGACATAGAGCAAAATTTGCAAATCTTCTTCTCGAAAGTAAGCCTGTATGAGCGACGCAAACAGCAGCTTTAAACAGAGCATTCACATGGAGAAATGGGCTTGTGCACGCTCTCACATGCGTTTAATAGGTGTTCCCACTCGGGAGCATGTACAGGGTTGGGCATGTGCACTATACCTTTAATTAAAGTAATAGGAGACTGTTAACATGATCTAAGTAGCTTACCATATGCCCCTAAGCATGAAGTAAGAGATAAGTTTTCTGTAAATGTTCCTAGACATGCCGGGGGATAAATTGGGCAAAATCACTTGGTTTTAATAAACATTTTACGAGCTATGTTAGTTATTTTTCTTTCTTTTTGTTGACATGCAGAGTTTGGCTCTTTGATGCCTTAATTAGGTCATTGTAGCCATCCAGGAGAAAAAAACGTCTCAAAACTGCTGTACAGCCCAAGTTTGACATTTACAAACACCATTAAAGGAATCACTAACATTACTCTAACTGCTGGCAGCCTACCAGCTCAAAAAAAAAAGAAAATCATGTAAATAAATTAAAGGATGTGCTTTAATGCTGAGTGGCAGGAAAATGACAATCAGCATGTGATATTGCTTAATGAGAGGACAGATGGAGACAAAGGGACAAAATAGAAATCCTGACATCCCTCCCTGTCAGCATATAGAACATTACAGGAAGCCCATTAGAGAATCAGGTTCTCTGCCACACAGCTATCTCTCTGTGTCACTGCCAGTCTCTGTTATTAGCTCTGATATCGGATATCATTTACTCTCCACTGCTCACCGAGGCCGATGTTTTATTACATTGTTCAGCTGTCGTTTAAAAGCAGTCGAGTGAGGAGGTGAAGCCACTAAAGTGTCTTTGCTGCATCATTCTTACAAATTTAATTCGAATGTCACACTATACCTCTCCAATGACTTTTCACGCATTTGACACCATAATTTATGTTATTTTTGGTGCTTTTGTGTTTTAACCACTGCATTATTTGGAGTCTTAAATCTAGTGTGCTACAGTTAGTTATTATGTTTCACACAAAGGATTAAACATCATTATTTGATGCCATCTCTTGCAGATCTCGTCACAAAGACTTCCATTTAAGTACAGACGAGATGTAACAAAGTCACTTTTAACCTTGACGAGGTGGTCCAGTAAGTGGTTTGGATTTCTTGTTCAAGATCAGCCATCAAATATTTATCAACCATTCATCCATCACGCTTTGGTTGGTGACTCAGGCTCTGGGATTTATTGCCCTGTCTCTGCTCAAACAACAAGCGCAGGTCTATTAAATGCTTCAGAAATGTTAAAAGGGGAAAAAGTGCTGATTTCATTTGGATTTCCTGAAATAAATCTGCCAATCGGTGTGGGAAGGACAGAACCAGAAACCTCCTTTTTCTGCCTTAGATGGATTTAGGCTGTAGATCTACCTACCTGCCCCAGATGCAGGCCTAGTAATCATAAACACTGAACAGGATAGATTTAATCCAACAAGGTGATACAGTATGTCTCTCTGAGATGAGGGCATGACTTTTCATCTGTGCTTAATGCATGTTTAGAACTCTTACTGGGGGCTTTTTTAGCCTCTTGGGATCGGAGCAGTCAGCAAAATGATTTCACTCTCTGTGCTGGAGTCAGTCATTTGACTTTTCTGGTATTTTAAGTCTGTAGACTGTATTTTCCAGGCACCACACCCTCATACACAGGATGTGTCTGAGATTTTGTGTTTTTATGCCTTGCTGACTGAAAATCATTGTTTCACATCCTGGCTCAGGGCTGCTCTGATTAGCTCACTTTGTTTTACTGTCTACAGGAAAGTTTTTGACTTTTTAATGCTGACTCTGGGCTCTTTTCCACCTTTGTTCAGAGCAAGTTATGTGTGGGTAGAACATGTAATATATATGGCCTTCATCGCAGGCTGGTTGGCTGGCTCTCTTCGATCCCGGTGGGCTTGACAGAACGGCTGCCTGATGGAAGGAAAGTGCTTCTTTGGTCTGACTTCAACTGTACTGGCATCTCTATATTGGCACACACATTCTCCTCTTGCTCTTTATATTGTTTTATTTGTAATTTGAGTATGTTTCCCATCATCCTACGTTCACTTTCCCCTGATTGATGCTATCTGACCCTTTGTTCTCTAAAGAATTCAGGTATTACTGCAGCTATAAATCATGGGTGTTAAGCATTCTGCAAACCACATCTCTTCAACGCTCCACTTTTTCTCCTTTCTGTGGCTCTCATGTACCTTTTAACCATGCCTTGCTATTCTTTGTCTCATCATTTCTTTACTCCTCTCTTATATTTTAAACTTATTTTTGTCATGATTTCCACACTTCAGGTTTTCAGTTACATTTTCTAACTCTTGGGGCTGCACAGTGACGCAGTGGGTAGCACTTCTGCCTTGCAACAAGAATATTCTCTGTTCCATTCCTGGCCCGGGGTCTTTCTCCATGGAGTTTGCATGTTCTCCCTGAGCATACGTGGGTTCTCTCTGGGTACTCTGGCTTCCTCCCACAGTCCTAAAACATGACTGTTAGGTTAATTGGTTTCTCTAAATACTCCTAAGGTGTAAGTGTGTTCATTAATGGTTGTTTATCCTGTTTATTTGTTGCCCTGCGATAGACCGGTGACCTGTCCAGGGTGTGCCCCACCTCTTATCCATTGACAGCTGGAGATAGGCACCAGCAGCCCTCACGATTCCAGCAGGGATAAGCATGTCAGAAAATGGATAGATAGATAGTTTAATTTCCATTTATACTCATTTGTTGTTTTCTAGTTAGATTTAAGCCCTGTTGTATTTCTTGGTTACTCTCTATTGCCCCCTTGTGGCACCCTTCCCTTAGGTCCCTTCTAGTTACATTTGTCCACAACTGCTGTCAATCAGTTGGATACTTCATTCATTGTTTTGTTTTGCATATATACTCCAGTCCTCTGCACATAATCTTTGCTCATTCCCTCCGGAAGCACTGTGTTCCCCTTTGTTCTGGTTCCTGTGTTCCCTGGTTAGTTATTTCTGGATTCATTGTTCTGTTGCAGCCACTCTAATTATTTAATCTGCAAGAAACCACCCCAGCCTCCATCTGCATTTGGGTCATCTACAAGCCTCCATCCATCCTGACAAATTTCCCTTGGTGGTGTGAGTAAAACCTTGTACTGTCATGGTTGTTCCTCCAGAAACAAGAACTGCAGCTTAGGCATTGAATCAGAGTTTGATTATTTGAGCTCAGTTAAGATTAATAAAAACAATTACATTTAATGAACAACACTATTAGAAATTAGTGTTAGTAAGCTTTGGGTTACTTTATATTAACGTATTAATGTGGGTTAATTGTAGGCCTGTCTGTGGATGAAAAAATATTGGCTTTTTTTCTGATATCACCTACAAAAGATTTTAATTTCACACAGATTGTTTACAAATCTTTATTTCTGTTATTGTGATGATTTCTGCCATCCATAGTAGAATAGAAATAACATTTTATGTTCCACAGTAGAGAAATTCATGACTAGAAAATTAACAATTTTAGTAGAAAGAGAAAATGCAGACAGGTTTAAAAACACTTTCGATAAAGAAATGTGGGCTAAATAATGTCTGATATCTGCTTAAAGATCTCTAAACATATCTAGTATCCTGTGGAAAGATACCAGAATTATCTAACCCACATCATACAATTTAATGGCCTTCTACTGTATACAAAGGAAGTGAATGTAATTTACTACACTGAAAAAAATAATGCAACCGTTTTTGGCATTTACTTAATCATATTTAGTTACTTTAACACAATTATTTTATGTCCTATCCTGCTAACATGAAAAAAATTGTGTTAAAGTAACTAAATGTGATTAAGTAAATGCCAAAAACGGTTGCATAATTTTTTTAGTTTAAGAACAAGAAAGCAAGTCTTTAAAAGATTCTGTATTTGTTTGCTCCTTGTTGGTTCGTTTCTTCATTCGTCATCTTCAGCTTATCCAGGACTGGGTTGCAGGGGCAGCAGACTCAAGAAGTGAATATCAGACTTCATTCTACCTGGATACCTAAAACTAAAAAAAAAAAAAAAAAAATGAATGAATATTGATGCAATTAAAAGTTTTATTTTTATTATTCTAAATTCTAGCTTTTTTAATATAAATAATCCCTGATTGGTGCTTGTAGAGATGCTTTGAACACTGTTCTTTGTTTAGTTTAATATCTCTCCTAAGGAGTAATCTTTAACATTGACATTTAAAAAAAATAAATCTACAGACAAATAATTTAATAAGACTTCATAAAATTCCTGTTTAGACTAACCTTGGGTGATTTTAGGACCACCTTCTGACTTTCCGACGTGAAAGATGAAAGTACATACAGACCAACATGGATCTACATTTTTAAAGGGAAACACACCAAGACTATGTTTTTGTAATATTAGCCAGGCCAGCTATGTGCTTAAGTACGTTTAAACTCCTTACCACAATTTATTTTTTGGATATAAAAAATAACAGATTTTTTTTTTTTTTAAGTTATGCTCTCTCACAGAATGTGATGTCACCTTTGCTTATATTTAGATAACAGGTAGGAGAGATTAAACTGTTCTTATATCTACTTATATTTTAGTTATTAAGAAATAAAAATTGTTAAAACCCAGAAATTGGAAAACAGCATAAAAACCTAGATTGATGCAACAGTTTGTTTGTTTTTTTAGCCATTTGCTTTGTCATCCAACTGTTTTATACACAAAAGCATCTCTCCCTCTCACTGCTGACCTGCTGCGTCTGAACCAGTCACTTCCATCCTCATCCTTGTGTGAATATTTCATGTATGAGATTTGTGAATTAAACATGGGCTGGATATGATTGGCCTCCCATTTATTCACAGTGACAGAATGATAAGTTTGTGTGTTTAGTAATTTTAATATGATTTTATTTGCACTTATGAATATTTTCAAATACATTTCTTTATAGATTGACATGAAACCAAGGAATATTGGACATGGATTGCAGAAAACCTGAAATCATGCTTATAAATAATTTGCAGAGGATGTCAAGGACTTTGTTCCATCCATCTTTTTCTCCTTATCTGTCAGGGTCACGGGGGGCTGCTGCAGTCTGTGGGTGAAAGGCGAGGTGCTCCCTGGACAGGTCGCCAGTCCATTTCAGAGCTGAGACATGCAGCCATTCCCACTCCCACCTAAGGCCAATTTAGAAATGCCAATCAACCCACGCATGCATGGGGGGGGACCCTTTTTGCTGCAAGGCAGCACAGCTACAAGTTGTGCCCCCATGCAGCCAAAGAGTTTACTCCTTAAACCCAAAATTAGCCTAAGCTAAGCTTCTCTCTCTCTTTGCTCTGGCTTTGTGGATATTTTTTGTATGAAGTCTTAATTACCTCACACCACAAACCACTGCAATGCATAAAATAAAGACATCTTGGCTAATATTTAAAAATCACCATAAGCCACCTACAGAATGTATCTCTAGATGTTAGTAATTAAACCATCTCTGTATAAAACAAAGAAATTCTTCACTTTCATGTATAGTTACTATTATCAATCATAGAATAAATTATATTTATTATTTCATCAGAGTATTTTCCAGTGCCAAAAAGATTGATGCTAGGATGCTGGAGAAATGAATTCAGGCTAATTGACATGGCAGCCCTTTGTCTCTTTCTTACTGTTGTCTAGGGGATTTGTCCCACTAAGAATGGACTAGTTACTAAGGTTTTCAAACATAATTTCAAGACCCATATTTTTCCCATAGTATTGCTACAGCAGAGGGTAACCAATTAAAAATCAGTGGGATCCGAATAAAGAAAATTAACACCAGTAAAGGTCTGGAGACATTTTTAATTATAATCTGTTACTTCAGACAAATTTAATGCTGAAATAAAATGTGGTGTTTATGCATCCATGTTATTACATTGACTTACTAAATAAAAAAAACATTTTTTGCATTTTAAAATCTAAAGTGTTTTTTTTTTAAGTAGTGAACACCAATTCTTCAGTGTGGTATATAGACAATTTCCTGATTCACATAGTTTATAAAACACCTGAACTGATTTTTTTTTTCTTTCTTTTTTTTTTGACTTGATGAGAGATTTAAGCTGCCCTGCAAAGATTTAAACCTGGGTTTGATTGGTGAAAAAAGCCATTCTAAAGCCCATTTCAAAGTCCTAATTTTGAGCCTGGATTGATATTTATTTTTGATTATGTTCATGGTGGAGAATCCAGCTTCACAGCAGCCGGTTGAGCCAAACATACTCAAAATGTGCAGGGTCATCTTTGAGCACACCATTTCACTTTTCTGTCACCAGTTTACCGCAGCTCTTCCAGCAGTCCACACTTTCTTTCACATTTTCTCATCGTCTTCTCCTTCTTTCCCATCGTCATTGGCTAATTTGTATCATGTGCAGCCTGGTCCCGGAAGCTCTGGAGGGCTTTACCATATAAACAGGAGAAGAGGCGCAAGTGAAATTAGAGACTGTTGTCAGACAACATGCGGTAATTTATAAATGTTTTAAATACGGTTGGGTCCGAATGAGCCAGCAGATGGGTCCAGATCCGGACTGGGGTCCGCTAATCCGTGACCTTTGTCCTACAGTTTGAAATACTTTTAATAAGATCTTAGAGAAAGTACTGGGAATGAGTGCTGCCCCTACTGAACCTAATGCCCAACACGGGGTCAGCTGGTTTAAAAAGACTATTATATTTTATGAGAGAGACAAATTTAAGAGTTTAGAAGCATTTTTTATTTGTCCAAAAAGGGAGAGGTGTTAAAATGTCCAAAAGGTAATACTTCAAATGTAAAAAAATACCTGAAAATAGGCTGCCAGCAGAATCAATGTATTGTAACACATCACTGAGAATAAGATGGAAAGAAAAACATTTTAAGAAAATTACTCTTCAGCACAGAAAGCTTGACTGTATTAGTAGTGTTTTACCAATGAAATACATTTTGTGTTTAGGTAAAGCAGAAAACTGTATTTGTATAAAAATAATCTTTATCTGAAATATTGATTTTTTTTTCTAGTTGGTGCAGAGGGGCCTTAAGGTAAACTCTAAATATGCTGATAAAGAGAAACGGGTATTCATCTGGGTCCACCTGTAAAAATGATAGATTGTAGGCAACCTAAAGATGGAATTGCTCAGCTACAATGGTGCCTTTGAAAATCACAAAGGGTTTTTTTTTTTTTTTTGGTTCTCTTGCTCCCTGGGTCTCCATTTGTCTCCCTCTACAGGGCCCTGCAAAATTTGGGCAACTCAAGTAGCAAAGGTTACTTAAAAAAATACTGTAAATGAAAATACTTTATATTCCCAAAGGAAAAAATACTGAAGAGGTTAGATTACCAAAGTATAGCTGTTAAAAGTTATGCTGTCTTTGTTAAGATGTTGCACTATATGAAACGGGGCAATTGTCCCAGACCCAGGACAGAGGGGGGCCCAAAATTGATACTCTGACCATCAAAAATATAGGTAGAAGTAATTTTACACAAAATATTACTGATAAAAATATTTAATATTAGAGTAACTAAATATAAAAATATTTCTGCATTAGGCATATGTAATATGTTTTCTTTAATTAAGGGGCCATTAGAACTCCCCCCTACAAACATCAAATGGTTTAACCAGGTTAACGATGGGCTGCAACTTTTTAAGTTAGTTTCTCTGCAAACTAAGAATGTTAGGTTTTCAGAAGTCTTGCACACAGAAAAAAAGAAAAAGGGAAGATGACGTCAAAAGCTTAAGGGATTTTAGGAGTAAATATTAAAAATAAACTGAGGATGAGTCAGTAACAAGTCCAGGAACAGAATTGCAGAAGAAGGGTGGCCATTCAGAGCCTGGTAAGAAGCTATGCGTTTATCAATGTGATTTTAAAGTATAGCATCCGCTAGCTGGTGTAAGGGAGAAAAAACACCTTTTTTTTTCTTACAGAAATACTTGAGCTTAGCACCACAAAGTAGAAAGATAGCAGAGGTCCAGGTGCAGTTAAAGACAGTACGGAGCAGGAGAGTCGGTTGAGACGGGGAGCTTGGTTGATAGAGAAAAAGGAGGCGGGGCACGGGGAGCGTGAGTTTGAGGAGGAGACGGTGACAGCCAACTCTACCGATAACACAGTGCAGGTGGAAGAGCTTGCTGCCTGATCGAAGAGTCTGAGCACAGT